AATCTAGGACTCTAGTGCGCACTAGTGCAACCAGTGAAAAACGCTATTAACCCTACGGTCGACTAAACAACCATTTTGGAACGCTATTACAAGTCGACCATAAACCGACCATAATGATTTTGGAACGACCTACAGTAACTAAGGTTAGATTTTGGAACGCACCCCTGGTTATACAGTGCTCTATGTAGAACCAGCTTTGATATGCTTCTTCTTAGTATTTTTTATTCAATGGTTTATAAGTGAAGTTTGTGATCAAGGTTGTTTACATGTTCAATGACCACTGTGTGAATAAAAGTCCCGCTCAAAAGAACTTGTCAGAACTTGTTTCCACCTGTTTCTTTGTTTTAAGTATCATGATAAAATGCATAATTTGGAAAGATATAGTTTTTTAATTATTAATCAATATCATTGTGAAGTGCTGTTTTGAATCGGTATAAAAATATTTACTTTTTGAAAATAATTGAGGAAAATAAACAGGAAAAGAATTCTGAATTCACTATGGATAAAAGAAAATTAATATTAAGAAACAGTTTACATAAAGATGTACAACCAATTAATCAATCATTAGAGAAGATTAACTCTATTAGTGATAAACAAATGAGTACTCACACTACCAACATTTTAACACAGGAAAAGAGTGAATCATTTCATTTCATTTCAAAGCAAAATTTCCATATATCTGTTTTTTCTAATTTTTTACAAAAATGTGGTATATTATCAACTGATGACATGTATACACTTAGTAAGTCTCTTTACATTTTATTATGTCTCTAATTAAAAAAAAAAGAATTTATAAAATATATAAATTTTGCTTGTTAAATTTCCTTTATAGATGTTCCTCCATCCATTGCCAAATGGAAGATGAAAAAAGTATTGAATTTAAAGCAATACCAGAAAAAAGATATAATTGATTCGATAGAGGAATATATTAGAAGTGAAGAAAATTTTGTAAAAATGTTGAACGATATGGATATATCTACTGATAATAATGGTTTTAATGTTCTAAGCAAAATAACTCTTGCAAGAATTCTGTTAGAAGTTACAGAAATTCAAGTAGACATATATAATATATTCATATCTAAACTTAATGAATCTGTTCTTTTAGCGTAAGTATTGAAGATTGAAATCTATAATTTTATTGAATTTGAATTAAGATATTTATTCTATGTTATAATTTTTATTCACACAAAGAATGTGTTACAAGTTTTTTTGTGTATCTATTGGAATTTAAATTTTTATTCTTGATAAATATATATACACACATATATATACACGTACATACATGCATGCATGCAATATATATATATATATATATATATATATATATGTATGTATGTTCTATATCACAATCATAAAACATAAGCAAAGAATTAAATTTATAAGATTACGTTTTATTAGGTGTGCGTTTGTGTGAATATTCATTAATTATATATGTAAATATAAATGATAAATATATATATGCATATATTAATAAATACACATATATTTTATATATATATATTTTTATATAGAGACACTCTAGAGGAAGTACCTTGGGCTATATTACTACTACATCAATTTCGCTTTTTGGATACTATAACTGATGTTGATATATTAACTACAAATATACAACAACTCTTAGAAACATGTCCATTGTGGTTTCAACATGAACTTATTTTGTTTCTACCTGATATTTTATCAGATGCTCAACATCAGATTATCACTGAAGTATTAACAAAAATGTTGGAGGAAAATTTTGAATTAACAAATGTAATTTTGAATTGTATTGCCAGTTTTAATCTTGGCAAGGAGTATTTAGAAGAATATAAAATTAAAGTATTACATTTGTTAAAAACAAACATGAAAATAGAACTTATACCAATTGTCATCAGGTACATACATTTATATTTAATACTTAATTTTTTATTTGTGCTGTTAATTGTTATAATGATTTTTAATTTTTTGTAGATTTCTTTTAAACGATTGTGTATGTTCTGACATTGTCAAACAAATGTTACTTGTGTTGCGTAATATAGAAATTCAGCCTCTTGCCGGCGATAATGCTGAAAACTGTTATAAAAATCAAGTACAAATAGTTAAAACATTAAAGATATGTATGTTATTAGCTAAAGATGTGACAGATGTCGCAATAACAGTAATAAAAGATATTAATAAAAATCCAAAACCATTAGATTTAATCATTTTGCTTTTAATATATTCTGGGACAATAAGGCAAAAAACTGCAGAAGCTTTATTAAAGCAAAATATACGATCTGGTTTTTATAGACCAAGCTTGCTTCAAACACTTTACAGTGATTATAAAGAGGTTTGTATATCTTAATCCTAGATATACACACTGGGATCCCCGGGACCCCAGCGAAACTTTCTCGTTGGCATTTTTGAAATTGGAAGGGGAGAGGTTTGAGATATTGACGTAAAAAAGTTTGATCTCAGTAGGAAAACATGTTGACACGCGGCAATTGTCGCTTAACAATCAAGCAATGAACAGTTGAAGTGAGCATGGGGTCCTCAGGACTGCTTGCAGTTTTGTTACAAAATTAAAATAATAGATTGCCAATTTTTTTTATTACCATTTCAAATATGCCCTTTCAGAATTTTCAATGATTTTTCAAATCGGTCTATAAATAAAAGAGATATGATTTTTTGAAAAAAGGTGCTAAATCCAGATTTTTGCGTTTTTGAACTTTCCTTTTTTCTTGAACCCGTATATCTTGGAGCTTCTTAATTCTATGGACTTTTAAACATGGACTTCTTCCTTGGTCGATTTTCTATCGATTGAAAAAAAAAATTAATTGAAATATGTCCGTTTTTATTAGTTACAGTAATAAATATGGATGGGATCCCTGGGACCCCAGTGTGTATACGACGTCATAAAAAATATTGTGAATACCTAGGGTTAAAAACAAAAAATTTATGTAATTGTTTTACAATATATGTATATATATTTTAAATATATATTTTTTTGCGCACGCGATATGTGTGTATGTGTGATATTGCTTTATGTTTTATATGTATTTTTTTCAGGTTGTTCGGGAATTACAATCGCCAATTTTGCAATTGGCGAGTAAACTGTTAAAGTCTGAAGAACGTGTGTTTATTAATTTCGCAATAGAATGGTTCCGATTACAGTTCCTCAGTCAAAAAACAATACCATTTAAGCAACGTGAAATAGTAAAAAATACTATCCTTCTTATGGGTAATAATGATCAAACTGTGAAACATGCATTAACTGTACTTTGCAAAATGGCAGAGAATACAATAGAAAGAGATTGTTTAGTATTACACTGCAATCATTTGAGAATTTTACTAGAAAAAATCGATTGTTTTGGATTAGAAGAAGTTGGTACTTTGAGTGATTTATTGCACGGATTATGTCTAGCTGATGATTCTACTTCAGAATCTTTACGGGATGATTTATTTATATTGTTACAAAAACAATTATCTACTGCCAAACCAATGTAAGCTAAGTATAAAATTAATATAGAAATATATTATAATCTTTTATAAAACTTTTATAAATATTGGATTATATATTTCAGTACCAAATGTAAAGGTGTTATGGGAGCAGTAATGGCAATAAAACATTTAGCAGGAAAAGCTGAAACATGCGATCAAGCTCTGAAATTATTCAGTATGTTTATTTTATATAATCTTAAAGTGTGTGTGCATGTGCGTGTGTGTGTGTATAATGGTTTAAATAAGAAATTTATGATAGAGTTTATTGTTTTTTTATGCTATAATTGGTTATGAATTAATATATAACAGTAAATTTAGTACAGAAAACTTTACAATTTTTTAATATAAATATCTAACATTTACAGATAAGGTAATGAAGAGTGTCAAGAATTGTTGTAAATCGCAGCCTCTGTTTTATGATCAATTAGCACAAGTAATTGCTCAAGCTGAACTTATCAATACTGATTTTATCCAAAAAATTAAAAACTACATTGAAGATGAATTTGTTAATACATATATGACAGATGAATTACAATCCAGGTAAGTAATGTAATATAATATACTATAAATAAGAAAAAGCGTCAAATTCGACCAAGATTAAATATTGATTGCCTATTAATATTTTTAATATTTTAATTTTAATTGCAGTAAACTGAGCCTTAATTATTATCGATCTTTTTTAGAACGCATGGTAACATTGGTAACTTAAAGCTGAAATAATATCACGTATTAAATTGATCGATTCAATTCAATGATGATACAAATATCCTAAATAGTGTAAAGAACTTATTGCGAAAATAATACTTCAGCTAGGATATTTTTTGCAATAACTTTACAGTATTCATTATCATCATCAAATTGAAGAACAATTTAATATATGTATAGTATTATTTTAGCTTCAAATTATGATTGCGTTCTAAAAAAGACCGATAGTAATTGGCACATTTTTTGTAGCTGAAGTTTAAAAATTAAATATATTAATGGGCAATCTATCTATTTCAATCGAATTTGGCGTTTTTCTTTACTTATTTGTTGTATAGTTGTCTTTTTGAAATTATTTTTATAATGCTATATGTTATATACACATGTATATATATACAGGATGGACCATTTTAATCCATCCAGTCGAATATCTCGAAAATCAAGCTCGGAAGGGAAAAATTTTACAGACAAAAGTTGTTTGGTTTCGAAGAGACCATAAAATGGTACCATTGGTTTGACCTTGAAGAATTATTTGAAAGTCACATAAAAGTCACTTTAATTGTTTTAAATGGCATCCTCTATTTTTTATTATATATTCTTGTAGCTGACCTCGATAGCTTTCCAAAACACTATAATAAAATGTTTCTTCATTGAATACTTTTCGAGTTATAAAGCTCCAAAGTTGCAACTTTATAGTGTTTTGGAAAGCTCTCGAGGTCAGTTAAAAGAATATATAATAAAAAATAGGGGATGCCATTTAAAAAAATTGAAGTGACTTTCATGTGACTTACAAATAATTCTTTAAGGTCAAACCAATGGTACCATTTTATGGTCCCTTCGAAACCAAACAACTTTTGTCATTTTTCTCTCCCGGGCTTGATTTTCGAGATATTCGACTGGATGGATTAAAATGATCCATCCTGTGTATATATATATATATATATATATATGTATGTAGGTATCAGATTTTTAATGCTTTAAAGAAATATTTTTTTCTCTAAATAAAATAATGTCTCAAATCAGCTGCATGCATTAGGTTTTCCACAAGATATTTATTATCTGAAAAAACTTAGAATTTGCATGAGATATTTTTTTTATCTTCGAAAAATAGGGGATTTGCCTAGATTTTTATGTTTTTTAGAAAAATTTTTGGAATTTTATTTTTAAATTTAAATATTGTTTCTTTCCGAAAACGTTTTTAAAATTTTTTTTTCTTGATAATGCAAAATGTGTCAACAATCGATTAATAATAAGTGTGGCATATATGTTCACGTTCAATATTCTTGTGTTTCGCAAATTTATACATATATAAAATTTTATTAATTAAAAAAAAGAATAGCTATCTACTGTAATAGCTATCACTGATACTATATAGGGTGTTTCTGAACTCAATGCCGAAAACTGCGGTTTTAGCACATGCGGTTTAGCAAACAAGTACAAAATAAAAATTTGATTTTGCACGATTTTCGATTTCGAACAGATTACTTAATAGAAATTGCTTTCATAACAAAACAAATTGAAGTAAATGTTGTTTAATTTTCTTTATTTTGCTTAATTTTTTACAAAAGAAAAAATTTTTCCATTGATACAGTTTCTAGCATAAATTAATAAATTGCTTTTTGAATTTTATGGATGATAGCATCAGCATTAAATGTCAATTTCCAGTTTTTCTGAATCCGGAATCTCATTTAGGAACGAATGACACTTAAGCCTGCCACTGTCAACCCCGAAACTCAAAACTTTTTTTTCAACAAGCTCGAAATAATTTATTAATTCGTGTCCAATTAGCATCGCGGAAAAGATTCAACAATAAACTTCGAGAAGATTTTCAGAGATGCGAGTAGATTTAATATGCCTTTTTTTAGATAGATAGATAGAAAGGAGAGAAAAGGAGAAGATTTGAAAATACATCTTTTTTTTAATCAGATCTAATTATGTAATAATTGTGTAATGATCAAAAATAAAAAGATAAATGTAAATAATTTTAGGGAAGATTTAATACCTAGATTTGGACTAAATAATGGAGAAAATGAGTCACAAAATTGCGTATTAAATTTTGGAAATAAAAGAAATGGTCCAATTGCATCAATATTATTTCGACTTCTTAAGACATGTTGTATGAGGCTCAGTGAACATGGAGAACTGCGGGCTATAGACGTTCTCTTAGGATGCGAAATGTTAATGCCACAAAATTTTGATATACCAGAATTTTCAACATTAGATCTTATTATATGCAGTATTAATTGGTAAGTATTTTTAAAATGCACAATAATATACATATAATTTGTTAAGTACATATTTTGTTAAGTTAGATTAAGATAAATAACTGCAGAGGAATGTTACAGGCTTAGAGAAGTAATCTCAGGTTTTGTCACGCAAACAGATCCTTTATATCGACAACAAGTATTAAAACGTTTAGATACTTTAATATATTTGCAAAATGAATTGAATATGCTACTAATGTTATGTGACACCAAATATCAACCATCACCATGTTATTTCCATTATTTTCCATTACCATCATTTATAAAAATTGAAAAAAAAAATAGTAAAAAAGGAAAAAAACTTACGAAAGAAAAGAAAATGAACACTTCTGTGACAATAGAAGATGAATGGGAGATAAGTTCCACATTGTATTCTAAAAATCCAGCATATTTTAGAAAATTTGACGCAAAGGTATTAAGAATAATTTTTAATATATATTTAAAATGTTTTTATTTTCAACAAACCTCAAGAGGTTTGAACTTCTACATACCTGTAGAAATTCAACATAAGAAAAATTTTTAGACAGAGCTTATGTATGCTCAATCGCTTTATGTCTGAAACTAATAAAAGTTATATGTGATTATTATTGCATTATATATTACATTATCACTATAAATATGATAACAATATAATAGTATACAATTTGGTATCTCAGACATAAAATAGCGCTGTAATTATACAAACTTTTATTTTTCTCAAATTTCGATTTTGGAATATAATAGAAAATTCAAAATATTCAGTATCTTTAATAATATTGATAACTTGATTTTTTTTATTTATTAGAAATTGATTATAACTTAACTAAATAATTAAAAACATATATGGTGACACTACATCAATTTTAAATTGTTACAATATTGGTCATATTCGATAATACAGAAAACATGATGTTTACAGATAGCTTACCTTTTGGATGTTAAAATTGATGTACAATCATCACAATCTGAAATACAAGGTATATCAATAAAACAAGTATGTTTTATTGTAAAAGAACTTTTAATAATATTCGAAAATGAACCATCCGAGAGTTTTGTGAAAGATTTAATATACTTATTACCAAAGATCTGCTCAAAATTGGATGATGTTGTCAGCAGATTAAGACAAGATGACAATTACGATTTTCGAAAAGGTGCAATATTATTATTGCGCCTTCTCACTAGTATTTTTAATTGGAAAGGGTTTTCGAGTGTAACATACAATATATTGTTACGCGGTACAGTATTCTTTAGCTAATTATTATAATTAGATATTTAACGTATATATTATTTATATTCTATTAATATACTTTTTTAGAAGGTTTACGTAATTTGGCTAGACAAGTCAATGAAGAAAATGCTTTATTGCGATCTAGTAAGGAACTTGTTGCAGAATCATACAAATATTTTGAATCATTGTCAGATATTGCCACCGAAATAGCATTAGCTACTGCTCTTGTCAATTTGTGCCAATCGTTAATGAAACATTCTGACAGTTATATCCGAGAATATAAGGGTAAACATGGTAAGTGATATAAGTACTTGCTAAATATTAAAAATTTTACTAATTTCTTATACTATTGATTTTAGCAAAATTAGCATATGGATTTCTTTGTCTGGAATGGTCTGAAGATAAGCATATTGGTCCTCAATATAAGTTATTTGTTATTCAGCTATTAAATAATTGGATAGATAATGAACCATCACCATTAGATACAGTGACATCAGTTTTGGAATGGTTACCAGATGAAGTCTGCAATTTTGAAAATGTTCATAGTTCTTTAACACGAATATCTTCTGTAAAAAGAAATATTTTTCACTTGTTATATGGAAAACTATTTGATGGTTTAATTAAAGGTATTAACATATCGTTGTTGGTGGTCAACTCGTAAGTATTATTTTTTTAAATAAACAGTAGGAATAATTATGTTTAAAAATAAGTTATAATTTATATTAATATACAGAATTTTTATTAAAGGTTTTTTAGTATGAATACAATTTTTTGTTTAATTTATTGTGTATGTGATCAAATATTTTTTTAGAGATCAAAAAAGAATAAAGGTATGGCACAATATTACTTCAAATGTTCAAAAACTTGTGCAAATTTGTAAAACTTTGAAAACAAAGACTACTATACGACTATTTTTGCGATACATGCCACAATTAATAAAACAATTTTTAAATATTGGTATGCCAATACTTGAACATAATCTGAAGTATCAAACAGACGATGTAACTCGTATTCTAAAAATGATGCAAAGTAAGAAATAACTATTTTTTTTATTGATAAGTTATATGGAATTCTAAACTTTAATTTTAATAATAGATTATCTAACGAATTTGGAATCAATTTTTCCTTAGTGGAAGTGTAAAAAAAAAAGATTAATTGTTATTTGTGACTAGTAATAAAACTTAGTTAAAATGAAAGATTATTGTTAAAAGATCAAAATGTTCTATAGACTAATCCTCAATACCTATTTAAATATTCCTTTTTTTTTAATATTGGAAAAAATATATTAAATACTTTTTTATTTGATTTCTCGTATAGAGTGTTAATGTTATTGAAAATCCTTTGCTTGTTAAAACAAGAATTGTAAACCGAATACATATCATATGTTTTAACTGATTGTGAGTATGGTGTTATAAGAACGCAAGTAATTAAAGGATATTACTGTACTTATAAAAACTAATGCAGAATAAGCATTGTGTGCATGTAAAAATTTTGTTATAGTATCTAGGATATGCGAGAAATCTTGACCAAGAATACTGTAGAAAAGACAAATAACATTTTTATTTTATTAGAATTGTTACATGAGAAAACTTTCGTGATTTTGCTGATTTTGGCTTTTGTTTAGCAATAGACATCAGATTTCCAGTAGTTTATCATTCCTCATTCGATCAGTATGCAATTCATTACTAGCCATGAGAAGCTTAAAATGGATAAAATTTTTTATTCGTAACTGAATCTTATATTGTTTTATTAAAACGAGATAAGCATCTAAAAGTAGCGGATACATTTTAATTGAGTTATTCACTTAGTTTGCAAAAAACTTTTTGTAATTGTTTTATAGCCACAAAAAGTTATATTAATATTATAAAAAAATATATTGTTTTTAAATGTTCTTGCTAAAAAAAATTGTTTCTAAATTCATTAAAAAAATGTGTTAAATTAAAATTTGGATTTGTAAAACGTTTTATAATAAAAATATAATATATATAGGTAAAATAGGTAATTTTTTTTTCTAATTTTATTATCATAAATGTTATGTTTAGGTGGTACAAGATACTTACATGCCATATGTTGCGACTGCACAGAAAAAAAGAATCTACTATTATTTAAATATGTTCCTGCAGCAAAATCTATACTAGAGAAATTAATTTATAGTGTCAAAGGAATGTTAGTCCTTAACGATAGTGCAGCAGCATTTTGGATGGGAAATCTTGTCAATAAGAATTTAGATGGCCGTGAAATTTTTTCACAGGTTATTGTCATTTTGGATTTTGCACTTTGTACTAAAGAAAATAGAACTTCATTAATGAAATTAATCAATTAATTCATTACTTTTTTAGACATCATCAGAGGAAACTGCTTTAGACATGAATACAAACTCGGAAGAATTAGCAAATGCATCATCTGAAATTTTAGATTCTGATTTAGGCGAAAATCCAATGGAAGATGAAAACGATGATATTGATATATAATTATATAATGGGTAAGTAAAAATAAAAAATGTTCTGTGGTTAAGAGAATGCTGAAAGGTCGGGAATTATCGACAATTGCAGTTGTAAGGATAACTCCAAAACGACTGGATTTGTGCTTTTTTTTTTTAAATGCGTTCTACTAAACTGTCAAAAGAGCAATTTAGGTACTCATTTAGGATATCCTAAGGTATTTTTCTGAATTTCTTCAGATTTTTTTGTTACGTTTTTTTTTGACTTATAAATTATAAACAGGTTGAACTTTAATCATGACTTTGATTGAGAGAGTTTTGCTATGTATTTTAGATAGAGAACATTATTTAGGAAAGCACAGAGTCTCGAAAATATTACACATTAAATGTTACAAAAAAATACACTTCTCAACAAAATTAAAGCATTACTTACTCTACCCTTCAAAAATAGGCAAAATTCAAAAGTGTGTAACTTCGTCAAAAATGATCGTATCGAGATGATCAAAAAAGCATTTTACAGCTTGAAATCTCTACTTTCCAAATCGGTACTTGAGAAAACGATCCTACTGATGTTTCATGGAATTACACCTGTCTCTTATACACATCTCTGAGCGGGC